ATTGTGCACATGTTTCTTTGGGGAGCCAAACGTTTGACACTCTGAGTCGAACCTCCCACCTGCCCCTCGAGGTGAGGTGCAGGTTTGCAGTATTTTAGATTTTAAAAAAGTAAGACAACAAATAAATAGAGAAGAATTAGAAAGCAAATGAACAGAACGACGTAAACAAGCAAAAAAGGAATTAAAAAACAAAACAAAATACAATAAATACAGAAGAGTTTAAAAAGGAGATGTCACAATAGATTTATATTGAAATTCTTTATTCATGAAACAAAAACAAAATCCAAACACAATATAAATTATTAGAAGTGGCAACTAACGACAGCCTGATGATTTGCTTTCCCAAAGTCACAGAATGAAAGATACCATAAGAGATCATTTTAGCATTTGTTTTGGCCTTCGCTCAACTGCTAAACATGTCTGAAATTAAACATGTTGGTGTAATTTCTTAGTAATCTGGACTGGACTTCTTCTTTATTTATATTTCTTACGTATATTGGGGTTTTAGCTGATTTAATCTGGTGTGAGGCTTAAGGCCTCAAGCTTTGAAAAATTACTCTCCAGATCATTTCCAAACGAGGCTGAGGACTAAAGGCAATCAGGCCTTTAGTGTGGTTGCCCCAAAGCTCTGGAACAGCCTGCCTTTTAATATAAGAGTTGCCACGACTATAGAGGAGTTTAAGTCCTGTTTAAAAACCCATTTATTTGACATGGCTTTTAACATTTTAACCTTAGGTTGAGGTAGAGCACCTTTTTTACCTTTTTTACCTTTTTTATGTATCTTATTTATTTATTTATTTTTACATTAAAATCACATATACATGCTTTTTATGTACAGCACTTTGGCAACCATGGTTATTTTAAATGTGCTATATAAATAAAGTTGACTTGACTTGACAATAAGCAAATGTTGAAGCTGACGACAGTTTTCCAGTTGACATTTTTGCTCCTTAGTGTTGAGGAAATTAATGTTTTTCATCTGAGTCTTTTTGCATAATTTAAATGTAAAAATGTTGCTAAAAACCCTTTTGAACACAATAAGACAAACCAGATAACAGCAGGAAGAGGACTGCGCAACAATGGTAATAAATGATGAATATTCAAAACTGTCTCTGTTTATTTTTTTTATACTTCGTTTAAGGGCCAAATTAAGACTTCAAACAAATAAAAAAATGTTCTCTTTATTTTTTCTTGGATCAGGTTTTAAAGGGTACAGAAGAGCTAAATTAAAATTATACCAAAATGTATATCTAGTGGAAAATCTCTCTGTATGCCACTCTTCTAACTAATATGCTCTCAACATCTTTGCTCACTGTCCTGTATCTTTTTTTTTTGTACTTTTGGCCCACAAACATGAATAGTTTACAGCAGAGTTATATATGAAAAAAAATGTCTTTGCAAGATACAAGTGGGATTCACAGCTGCTTTAAGCTGACAGATTTAAGTTCTGTAGGACATTCTCTTTTTTCTTCCATTAGTGTGTCAGCCCTGCTAAGGCCTATTATTCTTAGCTATTACACACCCTTTAAAATTCCTGGTGTAAAAAATAAAACCATGAAGTAGAATTTAGAAAATCTTTTTCCATTGACTTTTTTTCCCCTTTCGATGAAAAAAAAGGCCTTGTTTGTGACGGCCAACCTGAAAAACTGATGCTCAGTTTAAATCAGCTTAACTCCTTTACCCGTTTACTGTATCCACACAAACTTAAAACACTGTTTCGAACCTGAGTGAGCTTAAGACCGTATATAACAGGATTGAGAATAGGTGGAATCATCAGAAACTGTACAGCCATGAAGTTTTTCACGCCCTGCCGCACAGAGTCCGATCCATATCTCGCGTACATGAGATCAAACAGGAGAGACACCGTAACGTTAAGCAAACATAATAAATGAGGCACACAGGTCTGCGCAAACTTCTTCCTGCCCTCGCTAGATTTCAAGGCAAACTTTACCAACCACACATAAGAACACAGAATGAAGAGATCGTGGCAAAAATAAAACAATATTACTATAAAACCAACAGCGCTGTTAGCAGTTGCTGGGTAACAGGAAAGTTTTAGGATTGACCAATTGTCACAGAAAAGTTTCTGTATGCTGGAGCCACACAGTGTCAGAGTGGAGGTCATGATCATCACCACACCCTGACAGAGTAAAGGCACAAGTCTGGAGAAACTCACCAACAGAGCAACTCTCTGCTTTGTCATGACAGAGTGATACTCCAGCGGGCGGCATATGGCCACGTACCGGTCATAAGCCATCATGGTGAGAGTAGAGAATTCAGTGGCTGCGTACGAGTACACGACGAAAACCTGCATTAGGCAGCCACGGTAAGATATTACATGACTGTCAGACAGTAAATCAAAGAGGAATTTGGGGTAAAAGGCAGCAGTCCCATACAAGCTATTAATGCACAGGTTACATAGAAAAATGTACATGGGTTTGTGGAGTTTTTCTTCCAATATGACAGTAACAATAAGAACCACATTCACAAGCAGTATCAAAGTGTAACAGAGAAAGGTTAAAAAAAAGAGGCCAACTCTTTCAGCTGCTGCCATGTCCTGCAACCCTGACAAAAAGAACACATTTAGAATCGTTGCATTGACCATCATTTACCTATCTCTCAAAGATCGATGTGGACAGGTATCTCTGTCAGCCGCTTTTGTTTTCATCACCCATGTGTGACAGGTATTATTAAAATGGGGGATGAATGCTCTCTGCAGTGTGTCTCCGGCAAACAATGTGAGCACTTTTAATCCTTGTTCACGACCACGTTGGTCTGTCTCAGGGCTCATTAGATCCCCAGAGTTCACATGTCCACAAAAAAGTAAACACGAGGAAAACTTTAGACTGAAAGTAATGATGCTACAACTGCATGGCTGAATTTTGCCACCTTGACTTTAGATTAGAAATTAATGAGACAATCAGATCTAGAATATCCAAATGTGACCCCTCCAGGGTTTTGAAAACAGAATTTAAGCTTAGAATTTGGGATATTTTTATTTAACTCTAAATTAATGGTTGATTGTTCATCTTCCATATTTGATTCAACAAATTCATGATATTTAAAACATTTGTTCTATATTAAATGTTGATTTAGAAAAAGTTAGTTACAACACGTAAATGGCTAGATTTGATTTAGCATTTACAAACAAGACAACTGGTCATGTGGTTTAGCATGAGAAGCATTATTGAAAAATCATACTTTTGTTGTTTTTGGCTCCTTCTATAGAGAGAGGGATGTAAAGCAAACTGTAGTCTGAACCACAGTAAGCTTGTTGCCATAGCTTTAGAGGCTGACAGTGGAGGCCTCTTTGATATATGTAATGGACAGACATGCTCTGGAAAAGTCTAAACTAAATGTTCTTGTTCACTTGGAACATAGTTTGAATAAGGTGCATGTGGGAAAATACCATAAATAGCAATGGGCATTGTACACATTACTGGGCCAAGAGAGGAAGTACACAAAATGTTCCAACTTCCAATTGTTTGGTGAGATATTAGCTAATAGTAGACATGCTTTCTTGAAAACAATCTTCTTATTTGTTCGACAAGCAACTGGAGGTGGTCTGAGGCAGAAACAACAATTGCATTCTAACCCACATTTCTACAGGGTCAAACGTCACAGGACAGGGTTTTATTTCAGAAACAATAAGGGAAAATTACATATCTGAATACAGGTGAGGGGAGCTATCTTCTAGGTTATGTGTGGAACATGGCCACCATCTTGAAAGTCATCATATTAGATAGACAAGATACATAGATACTTTGTTAATCCTGAGGCAAATTTAAAATATTCAGCAGCTAAATAGATGCACAAATGCAATCCTGGGACGAGGTCCACTGTGTTTTCCAGGCACACTGGTGGAACACGGCTGCCCTTAGAAAAAGAAAGGAAGGTACGTTTACAACAAGGGCTTATCTTGTATAACAAGGAACAGCGGTTTGGCCTGATACCACATGGCTAATGAGACTATTCAGCAAACTGTGGAGCTCCTGCAATACTTTTTAAAGCCAGTTCATAAGGGCAGACGGACATCAGGTGTGCAGGAGCAACCAGGCTCCAACCTGGACTTGCTGAAGAGACAGATGTGAAAGAAACTGGGGGGAAAGACCAGGGCAAGAGAGGGGATAATTGGAAAATGACCAGAAGCCAAAATATAAACACTAAGAACAGACTGCAAAGGATAACGTAACAACTCAAATCCAACCAACGACACAGACCAAAGAATAAACCCAGACACCAAGAAACAAAGGGGGAAAAAACAGCAATTGAAACACAAAAACCTGCATGATGCTCCAGTTCAGATGGCATGGCTGTGACTGAGGAAAAAAAACATGAACTGGCTAACACACAATACATGTTTTTTTACTGATGTTGTGTTGTGATTTTGTGTAATAATTTAGTATCGAAAGCATATTTATTCCAATCACAGAATATGTATCTATAAGTGTTCTTTGTTGTCTACCAAACATTCTCAGAGACACTCAAATGTCTCTGGCACCCATCTTGTTTAGGTCTGAGGGGATTTGCAACTAAAAGAAATGCAAAATACTAAATAATGACGTAATGGTGCCTATGACATTTCTGACTTTTTAAAAGCTATTTTCTACATTAAATTAAACTCAGTTTAATGATTCAGGCGGAGAAAAATTATCTTTATCTGGTAACAAACATCAGGGCCTCACGGCTGTGTGTGTTTGGGGGGGGGGGGGGTTACCACCTGCTTGAAGGTGACTGGTCCCTTTGCTCAACCACCAAATTGATGTCCAGGGAATAAAAGGATGTTGTGGACTAATGACCCAGAGGCCTAATCACTGTGTTTACGTGGATTCCTGTTTCCATCAGCAGGACAGCAGAAACTTAGAAATCCTATGTGGACAGAATAGTTGCATCAGAAAGATGTAACAGGCTTTTTTTCCTACTTATTAAGCGCATCTCACACGATAACGCGTTTCTGGCCTTACAGGTATTCTCAGCCGTTACTATTTTATTTCCAACGGGCAATGTGTTTTCCATAGCAAAGCATTACACACACTTACACACACCAGAAAAAAAAAACACTTCAGTGTACAGATGACATTTGACACAAATGAAATTAAACCACAGAGGACAGAAGGCCACTGGTTGTAGGAAGAAATAAACAAGCTTCAACATTTTTGTCTCTTCAAAATCCGTCATGAAACCACCTAGAGTTATAGATACACATTAGTTCATGGTGAAGTGTTTTATCTATTTGGGTATTATTTGTGTATTTGTAGCAAGACCACTACAAGGATATAAAGGCAAGATATTCCCAGAAAAGCTCACCATGCAAGTCAGAATGTAACGAGTCGGCCCACTTTACAAAGTGATGAAAGAGATTGAAAGTGAGAGAAAAAATATGAAAGAGTTCTCATTAGAGTGCTCAGTTTTTATTTTGTGGGTTTTCTTCAATCACAACAAATGATTGGCTGGTTACTTTTTTAGATTACTTCAGTACACTAGAACTGCTTTATGGGGAAATGGTATTTTAAATAAATAGAATTTTTCCTAGCATGGATGGCACTGTCTTTCCAGGGGCTAAAGTTACACATTTATTGTCATGATTAAGGTGGACTTGTACAGACATCAATTAAAACACCAATTTGTACTTTTTCATACACATTTCTGCTGCAAATATGCTGCCAAACAGGAACTGCACATAGAAAATGTTCCTGTTTAAGACAAGTGACTCGTGAGTCCTATGGTTTAGATATATTTCTGAGGTACGTGTGCAACCAGGGTCAAAGGCAGCACTGAACCTGTCTATTTGGTTTTAGCTTATAAAGTGAGAAGAAAATATTTCAGTAAACTTTGGTAATCACTAAAAATAGTGGTAAAAACAGTTCATCATGAGGTGGTGAGAGTCTTTTGCAAAGTTCAGTGGAAGACTGTGGGTTGAAGTCATTAAAAGGGAGCATTGAAATCCTGCAAATGTTCAATTCTGATCAGGTATCATAAGGTTAGTCTCTGAAAACTACATAAAAGACGCAATTATATAATAATCAATGTTCACCTGCAAGTCAATTTTACTGTTAAAACCAAGTAAGGACTTCTTTATAATGTATGATAGGCCATGATATTAGTTACTTCGAAATAATACAAAAGAAATTTAATTTGCTGAAAATTTGGGGGAACACACAATGGCAGTTCTCTTGTCTGATGTGGAATTTATGTAGTCATGCGGCTATGATAAAATTCAAGCCAGAGTACATTTCCTATGGGAGTTAAAAAAACAATGTGATGAAGGTAGATCATTTCTAATAGTACAGATTGTTGCCATTTTTACAGGTCGGGAACAATAAAAGGAATAAAAAAAATGTTTTAAATAGTGAAAATGTGGAAATGCTTCAGTTTGAAAGTGTGTAAGTTAATTTAGCTGACTATTAGGACATCCAGTCAGCATGATAGATTTTTTTTTTTGCTCAGGTTTTTACTCATTCCCACACAAAGGATTTTGGATGTATGTTTTGTGAACGCATTTGAAAGCAGAATTTTTTGTATTTTAGCATTTAAGCATGGCAAACATTTACGTGCTGCAGGAGCCCATGGGAGAGTAACTTTGTCATTAATGTGTCCCTGAAAAAAGACCCTGCCCCCTCGGTTCATGTGATCGTATTTTAAATGGCCTCTTAACCTATTTCTGACCACCAGAGGTCAGTGTCGCGCTTTAGAGTACTTTTTCCAGACTCAGCCTGCATGTCACAACTTTGGCCACTAGAGGTCAGTCTCACACCGGACTTTGTTGATGTATGGCGAGGTGGTGACTCCACGGCGCCCCCTTCTGGACATTTAAAGAACATATTAGAAACGGGGAAAGTACTGCAGGACTCCCAGACGGTGGTGCTGTAACGCTTTGACCACTGAATCATGACTGGAGGCTTACTCACATAAAATTGGAATCCTCGTGAAGCAGAGTATTTGCATTGATACCAGTGAGAAACTAAAAGTATGGATGGAGAAAAGAATACCCACCCTATGTGTAAAAGCGGCACAGAACTATACTATTACCTCATCGGTCAAGTTACACAGAAATATCCAAACCTTTTGGGCTGGGTTAGGTTCAGGTGGACATTTAGCACTAAGTTTGAGTCCACTCACCTCATGATGACACATCACCCATCCCAACGCGAGTCTTTCTGGCAGATATGGTTCCATCCACAGGGAGAGAAGGGGTCACTGCACAGTCTGCTGAGGGCTTACATGATCTGAGTCACATTTAATTATCAGTCTGTCAGATCTCAGTATTTTTCACTGTAAAGCCTTAACATTTACCTCAGAAATTATTGTAATTTCAGACATTTACCCACAAACAATAAGTCAGGATGAATTTGCACGGAGAGTAATCAACTAGTGTTACTAACTACAAAGGACAGGGCTCAAGGCTTTACAAACTTTATCATTTTTATTCAAACTGTACACATACAACGGGCTTGTCTCATTTAAAAAAGGGTAAAAAAAAAAAAAAAATCAGAACAGAGTACCCCCCATAAATACATTATACCTTTAAAAATCAAAGTCTGTGTTTGCTTGCACGTTTGCATATGTTCTGAGAAAAAACACACATACAAACACTCATATTCCTTCTGAAAGAGTACAATACAAATAAAGTCAGTCTGGTATCGTTGACACTGGTAGGTCTCAGCCGTCTCGAGACGGGAAGAGACTTTCCTTTGCTTTGTTTGGTAAAAAAATGTAGCGACTGAGTGCAGTGGAGTGTTGACCTGCCCTTCTAACCCAGTCCGAGTAAAAACAAAACAGGGCTTGAGGTATGAAGTACATTCACATAGGAAACATGGCACTGTATTATATACAAACTGCTTTTAGGTATAAGATGAAGATCGGTATAAAAAAAACGAAGAAAAAAAAAAACATATATACGCAGATTTTTAGTGTTAATATACGTGATTTCAGGACAAAGTTCAGAGGTTTGAATAACTAGAATACCGGGTCTATAGAGGGTCACGATGCGCTCATTACCGAGGAGTGACACGCGCGCAGACGATGTGCTGGACGACAGGAAAAAGGGATCGTTGTGGCCGGGCGCGCTGCCTTCCAGCTGACTCAGCCTCTCCGCTGGCTCCGCGTTCAGTCTGAGAGGCGAACCCGCCGGTTTCAGACGCTCAGACTGCGGCAGGAAAGAGAAAAAACTGCGATGCATCGTTAAATGGAGCCTCGGACGCATTTCAAAAACTACCACAGAAAGTACCTGAACGTCCTCGCCCATCGTGCTGCATTTCTATTTGTTAAAAAAAAACAAAATACATTGATAAGTTTCTCTTCTCCTGTGTCAAAACATTGAAAACGCCTTTTTTTCTTAGGATCTGGTAAACAAGCTGAGGTCATGTAACCTTTCCTCCGCTTTGTGCTTTTAACCCACTTTGTACCGGGATGATTCTCTCCAGGATAACGCTGATTAAACACTGCATTCTTCAAATAAAAAAAAAGTTAAAAAAAACATTCCCGCATGGCTGTGATCTTTGACCTTCTTCTCTGACACGCAACAATCAAACATTAAAGTCGAGACACTAAGAAAACGCATGCAGCTTCTCTGCCATCGGACCACGGTGAAGTAGCCTAGAAACTAAAATAACAAGATCAATAAAAACCTTTAAAAAGTTCAGCCCGCTCACGAGAACCATGGTAGGCCACATGTGAAAAAGGAAGGCCGATTTGAGCTGCGTCGGGCAGAATACCGGACTGAACACGTACAGCCAACTGTAACCAGAATAAAATAACATTAGAGCTCCAGAACAACCACTTGCACTCCCACAGATTTAACCTGGATCACCAAAATGCTGTTTTGGGTGTCTTAAAAGCTTAAAAAAAAGGTCTTTCTGGAGGAGAATCCGACAGCTGAAGGGACCACACACAGAGACCAACAATGAGCCGTTGTGCCTCTATTACAGAGAGAGGAGTTTGTGTATGTATGCATGGGTGTGTGTGTGTGTGTGTGTGTGGTCTCTTTAAAATGTAAGATCCAGGTCATTCTGAGGAGTACGTCTCTCTTTTTTCATCTTAGCATAACTGTGCAAACCAGTACATAACTTCATTCATCTTCGGAGTGAACATCAAGAAAAGAAGTGAATATTCATCAGCAAGGAACAGTAAAACAACATTTCTTTTTTCTTTTCTTTTTTTCATAGGAAGCAAAAAGAAGGTTTTGATTTCTGGGCAGCCATTTGGCACATGAAGATGGTCCATGAGTTATTCTTCTTTGTAAAAAAAAAAGAAAAAAAGACGGGATTGTACTCTGCAATACCTCCGTGTATTAAAGCTTTTCAGTCTTTAACTAAAAGCAGAGCAACGTGTTTAGAATCCAGGCATCCCTAAAAAAAAAAAATGAATTCACAGTCAGAGGGTGTGGCTGGTGCAGGGGTCACTCTTGTGCCCCGGTCGGCCTGAGGCATCGGGCCTGTTCAGTTAGTCCACTGGCAAACGCAAGAGTGGACACAAAGTACATTCAAACTGTAACATAAGGATATAATTCATAATATCAAAGGAGTAACTTAACTAGTCTGGCATTACAGTACATGGACAAGCGTGGACATTTGCACGAGTTTGTGGTCCAAGGATGCAAAAAAACCTTTGTGAAGGTAGTCAAATGATTAAAAAAAGTTGTGGGAAAAAATGAAATATACTGGGAGTTCGTCCAATGTTTTAGAACAGATGTGAAGAGAAAAAAAAATGCTTGTGAAGTGTCGTCTCAACTTGGTAACCAAAAAAAAAACAAAAACATACAACCAAAAGTATTTAAATGAAAGCTATTTGACCTCATTTTGAGTGGCTGTGCCTGTCACCCCCCCTCTTTCCACGCACACTCACACCGTCGTCTCCCCGTGGTTCCCGTTGCTCAGGCGTTTGTAAAACCTCCGCCACGACTGCAGAGTCTTCCCGGACCAGACCCAGAAGCCGGAGGTGATGCCCACGATCATGGTCATCAGGTACTTGATCATGAACACGGTGAAGTCCGGCGTCATGGGGGCGAAGTTGTGGGCCGGGCAGGGCACGGCGAAGCGCTTGCACGTCTGCATGTGCCAGGTGCGCTCCCAGTGCTCCCGGAAGGCCTGCTCGTAGAAGTAGCAGGCGATCACGATGGTGGCCGGGACCGTGTAGAGCACGCTGAACACGCCGATGCGCACCATCAGCTTCTCCAGCTTCTCCGTCTTGGTGCCGTCGTGCTTCATGATGGTGCGGATCCGGAACAGCGACACGAAGCCGGCCAGCAGGAAGGAGGTGCCGATGAAGAGGTAGACGAAGAGCGGGGCCAGCACGAAGCCGCGCAGCGCGTCCACGTTGAAGATCCCCACGAAGCACACGCCGGTCAGCACGTCCCCGTCCACCTGGCCCATGGCCAGGATGGTGATGGTCTTGATGGCCGGGACGGCCCACGCGGCCAGGTGGAAGTACTGCGAGTTGGCCTCGATCGCCTCGTGACCCCATTTCATCCCGGCGGAGAGGAACCACGTCAGGGACAGAATCACCCACCAGATGGAGCTGGCCATTCCGAAAAAGTACAGCACCATGAAGAGGATGGTGCAGCCCTCCTTCTTGGTCCCCTGGGCCACGGTCCGGTAACCGTCCACCTTGAATTTATCCACGCACACCACTTTGTCCTCCAGGAAAAAGCCGGCCGCGTAGGCCACGGCCACCATGAAGTAGCAGCCGGACAGGAAGATGATGGGCCTCTCTGGGTACCGGAACCGCCTCATGTCCACCAGATAAGTGAGCACCGTGAATAAGGTGCTCACGCAGCAGAGAATGGACCAGATCCCGACCCACAGCCGGCCGAATTTGACCTCGTCCTCGCGGAAGTACATGATCCCGCTGGGCTTGGTGGGCTCGCAGGGGGCCCCGCAGTCCTTGACCCCCATGAATCTGTAGCCCAGGTAGGTGGGCACCTCCAGCTGCAGCGGGCAGGAGAACTGGTGGTAGGGGCTGTGCTGGGGCGGCCGCTGGTTCGGGTGGACCATGGGCGGAAGGGTCATCGGTTCGGGCACGTAGGGGGACGACGAAGAGGTCGGGCTCCCGCTCTCGGACGTGTTCTGGCCCACGCAGATCTCGCCGGCCCCGTGGACCGGGAAAGCCTCGCAGCGGAGCCTCTCCGGCCACTGGAACCCGAATTTGTTCATCAGGGCTTCGCATCCCTGTCGAGCCCGCTCGCACAGCGACCGACACGGGGGGATGGCCTGCTCCAGGACCGTGCAGACCGGAGCGTACATGGAGCACAGGAAGAACTTCAGGTCCGCGGAGCACTGGACTTTGACCAGCGGGTAAAACTGGTGCACCTCGAGTCCGGCGTCCTCTTGGTTCGTGTGGCCCAGGAGGTTCGGCATGATGGTCTGGTTGTAGGCGATGTCGGTGCACAGCGGAATGGAAATGGGCTGGCAAAAGCCGTGTTCCGGGACGGATATTCCACTGTCGCTGCTGTAATGCTGAGCAGAAGTGGGTGAAAAAGACAACGCCAGCCACACGAGCCGCAGAAACACGGAGCCAGCGGTGAACCTGGCCGCCGCCATAGTTGAGGAGGAAGGGGGGGAGGGAAAGAAAAACTTTGATCCAAGTAGGGCGACTTGAAAACGGTTGAAAATGGGGGAAAATCCGCAACAGCTGTGCAGATTCTGGGTCTGTAGTCCGAGTAATTTCAGTTGGGGTTGCTTGAATCGACTTTTCTCTGGTATTTCACAAAGATAAACCAAAGAAAAACCTTCGCCGTGTCATGACTTCTTAATGTTCTTTGTAAGTGACTCCAAGCAGTCCACTCGCTCTCCCAGTCCGCGTAAAACAGCACTTCCAGTCCCGTTTTCTTCAAAAAATAGAGCAGAGCCAAACAGTTCCAGCGTCTTCTGTGGGTAAGTTGTTATTTCGGCGCAAGACTATAAAGATACAATGCACGAAAAGGCAAACCTTTTCACCGTTTTAGTCTAAACTTCACGCCGAGCGTCGGCTCACATGCTGGGCGGTTGGAAGTCCAGAGGCTCGCTCTGCTCACTCCGTGCAGATTCCACCGGTTTCCAGGCGCCCATTCCATTCACGAGACGCCCCCCTCCTCCGACTGAGCTCGGGGTGCCTTGAAACCGAGGCCGCGTCTCAGCCAATCCCAGCGTTTGTTTTCCTACAGGACTCGTTCTTGATTGGTCTTTACCTCCACACCGCAGGAAAATATGTTACAGTAATTACATTAAACCAATGATTTTTACCAAAAGTATCGATTTTTGCAGGTGAGATTATTATAGTACATTAAAAATGGGCCTCCTTACCATTAAGTTGAAAAAAGATCAGAAGCATTTGGCTAACCAATCAGTATACGATTGGTGTCTTCTTCATACATTTGGCATCAGTTAAAATATACATTTTTGATGAATCTGTCATGGATATAGATAACTGAAAATGCTTAAATATTTAAGCTTTTGAAAGCGTTAAAGCTGAATAGTTAATGCAACTTTAAATTGGAATTCAGTCAACTCATCAGGCAAAGGCATCCATCTTCCAGGAGCAGCTTTTTCAACAAAATGTTCATTTTTATGCAAGAAAGGAGTACTTACTCTGGTGTTTTTTCTTATAACATGTGTTACCTTATATGTTAATATTCACACTATTTTTGCAGTTTTCTACTCAGTCGAATCCAGGCTTTTAGAGTGTGCAACTCTGAAGTCAAATTCCCTCCATCTCCTCGCACTCTTTACACACAGCCACTTACTGTGTGAAGGACATGTAAACACTCCGCTGCACAGTGAGTAAACCATGGAAAAAAAATCTCCACGAAACCAAAACGGATTCAAACATCTTAAACAGTCAACAGGGACAGGTATTTTATGTGGTTGCATGGTTAAGTGTTTCATTGCAAACAATCAGAGGCAGTTCCTCAACTGTTTCATCACCGTGGGGATCGAGCACAACAAAACTGCTGAAATTTAGAGTGGCAGTATGATCAATCTGACCAAAGGCAACCCAGTGTGGGAGGGGTAGAGGGTAATGCTGCATGGTGGCCTCTGCATTTGGTGCGTTTCTGCCCTGAGTGAAATAAAAAGATGGTGGGGGTGGGCTGCAGTGGGGGAAGGGACAGGAAGAAGAGAAAAGGTCAAAGAGGGCAGGGGGAGAAGGAAAATGAGTAGCAGGAGAGGTCCAACCAAAAGGAGTTGTCAGTAGAGTAGTGTGAGGCAGCCTACAGAAAAGTGCTCATATATAAGTATGCATTTAATGCATCAACAGCAGTGTTCAGCAAGAAAAAATGTAATTCCCAGATAGGATATATATTTATATTCCCTGTCATCTGTTCACCACAGAACGTCATTTAATGGAAAAACACCAGAAAAGTTTGTTGAAATTTCTTAAATACCCCTCCAAGGCAGTGATGCCTTTGTCTTCATCGGAAAGTGAGCAAGTCAAAATTACATTGTTAGCCACAGGATCAGTTTCAGTTAGCCCATTTCAGCCTCAGTTTATTCAAGGTGCTGCCACTGTGGTTACAGCAAAGAGATGTGAAAAAGCCACAGTTCCCAGATCCTTCTACAAGTATGAATGCATCATGGTGTTCAAGTATCTAAATGCTTCTATGCAAAAATAAAAATAAAGTGTGTGGCTCTAAAATCAGCTAGTTACCAGCACATACTTCTTTCAGACATACTCAAGATATGTTTGGTCCAAACGTTTAAAGTATATTGAAAATTCATCTGGGTTCATAGAAGAATTAGCATAAAAGTAGCTACAGAAAGTTATAGATACACAACATAGATCCTGTCTGCAAATCAGCAAGTATACCCACCTTGATTAAAACAGTGTACACGGAGAAGCTGTTTAACAGGTGTTTTCTGTGTGTACATTTTCATTTGAGTTGTGAGCCTGTTCAGTCATTTTTCCGATTAAATCACAGTGAGGGGCAGCCTGACTTTCCAGTACAGTCAACGTGTTTGACCTTAATCTTATCACACCAAGCAGAACCTTAATCACTGGAAAAGCTGGCTACATCAATGAGCAAAAGAGGAGTTTTCCTGTGGGTTGACATAACAAATGGGATATGACAGCTATGTGGTGGGGAGACATGTTGGGACTGTGAAGGTTGGCCAGCGTTAGCGTTTACGCTGTTTTATAAAAATGTAGATGAATTCCAGACAACTTAATAACGAGCCTAAAAAACCCCGGTCAGGGTTTCTGATTGCAAATTTGGTTTTGCTGCCTCAGTTTAGGCCCCTCAAAAATAACTGATGGACAGCTATGTAATGAGGACTCCAGTTAACATGCTATTGATCAGGAGGTTTTATGTACATTGCGATTTCTTTGGAGAGTAACTGTCAAACATCCACCCAGCAGCTTTCAGGCAGCATGATCCATGAATACATCTTAATGGAGACATTGCTTTTTGATGGGACATCAGAACTGTAATGAAGTATGAGTTTAGAGAAACATAACTCATGAAATGTTTTATTTTTGCATATACAGTTCCTGCCCATTCCATGTATGACATGCTGTAAGGTGTGAAAAATGAGTAATGATCATCTGTTTTTGGCAGCTTTTCCTGATATGTATATTTTTGGGTGACGTCCTGCCAAACCAGATTGATATCACAGCCAAATCATAATCATGCTTTCTAGAAAAACTAAACAGAAAAACATACCACAGTGACTGTGTTCACCAATGAACTGTTCCAAGACAGTCTGACTGGGAGGTCTGCGGATATACAAGTAAAAGTCTGTGTGTTCTCATAATTTAAACTCATTTTTATGTTTGAGAAAACACCAAAAGTTCAGCCATACCAAACAGGGTTCACACAGAGCCAAATGTTTTTGCTTTAGTACCTCAGGCTGCTGACTTTGAGGACAACTGAGAATGATCTGAGTCAGTCATGTGGTACATTTTATGCAATTTGATGGTAAAAGATGTTTTGTCAGACTGACCAAGTTTGCCAAGCTTTGAGCACCACTCTTCCAGGCAACACACGCAGACATAATCCTGTAAAAATATAGACTTTGTGCAAATGTGCCGGTAGTTGCTGCAACATTATTGTCCTTTAGATGGCTTCTGTCCCTGCCTCTTTCTCACTCTGGGCCTGCGGTGTCAAACCCAGCAGTTAGTAGCCACACCAGGTCAAATGGGACGCACTTCATCATGTCTAACTGTAGCTGTTTGTTTGTGTGTGCGCATATGTTTGTGGATAGTGTCTGCAGTGGTCAAGCAGCTGTGGGCAGTCTCAGCGGCCTTTCCAGACAGTCAGTCACTGTTTGGACTACAGTCTGCTGCAGCTGGAGAGAAAAAAAAATGGGTTAGACAAACAAGTAAATTTGCAGTAGAGGAAGAAGAGATATACACAGCATAAAAATTTGGATGGTTTTGCTTGCTCCATTCAAGTGGGACTGCTGTGTGAAGTACTGGAGCCACTATGTGAAACCCAATACTGAATAACTATTTAAATGTTCAGCAGAGGTGGAAAAACACAGTTTAGTTTGGTTAAGAGATTTTCAGCTTTTCGGACATGTTGGCTTACCATGTTGGTCTAACCAAAATGCTAAGTGTGTCTGAGGAAACTCCATTATTCTGTGTCAGATTTTAAGAGGTGTGATTAAAAATAAGACAAGATTTTAAAATGACTGCGGGAGTATTAATTTATTTGAAACTTTAGCCGTTGCATTGGTTGCATTAGAATGCAGACAATGATCCATCCATTATCTGTACCGCCTATTCCTTGTAGGGCATTCAACTGTCCTGACATGCATATTTTTGGACGGTGGGAAGAAGCCAGAGTGCCTGCAGAGAACCCGTGTAGACACAGGGAGGACATGCAACCCCCCCCCTCCCCAGTCCTCCAGGGATTAAAGTGTAGCCATGCTAAATCTTAATAAAACGAGTTGTGGAATTTATGGAAACATAACAACATTAAATTAGCAACAAGTGAATGTGTTGTGATAAGGGACTTCCTATCAGTAAACATTTTGTCTGGTTTTATTCACAGTAAGTATAGATCTTACTTACAAAACAAGAAAAGAAAACTGAATTCTGTGCCAGCTGCCATTGGGCATGAGGTAGTGTACACGCTGAGCAGTTCACCAGTCCATCACAGGCCACACAGAGATGAACGACACAGACAAATAAACACACTCTAAGGGTCAGTTTAGAAACATTGTTAACCCTAAGAATTACCCTTTCTTCCACCATCTTTTTGGTTGGTGGAAGAAAGCCCAAGCATGAAGAAAAAACGCAAGTAGGAGAACTAGCTAAATCCACAGGAATCCACAGATTCACCACTGTGCAGCCTACCGTGAATACTTTCATGTCAAAAAATTAATGTGTGTGCTGATTCTACCTATAATGAAACACTCACACGCTTACCGTGTTTTTGTGTTCCGAAAAAGCAAGTGCACCATATTTGCAATATTTAACATATTGGATTTAAAACCCTTTACATGCCTTGAAATTAGCACAATAAGGCACCAGCTGGCCGATCAGGCAAAAACTGTACAAATGAGAAGTCATTGTCTGAAAAAGAGGTTTATCCTTAGTGCTGTCATAGGAATTAGGAGGGTAAGTAGCAGCCAGGTTCTTCTTATTAAATGAAAATTGGTCATTGGCATGGGTGAACGTTTCTATGAGAGCAGAACCATTAGCTTTCAGTACTCTGTTTCTGTGTTTACTTAATTTGAATAAATTAAAACAATGGATGTCAATGAAGGTGAGGTTTATTTCTTTTTCTTTTTTTTTTACATGGGGGTACGATTTGTATCAGATGTGGTTGTTTCTGACTGCAGATCTGAAATATCTCTCCAGCTATTTCTGACCCTGCCCCACTAATGGCATACATGTCTGTTGTTGCAGACCCAGGCTGAAAACTCCAGCTGTCAAGGTAAACTTGCAAGCACCAAGGAAGTAGTCATGGTAACAACAATGGCGCAGAGGAGAAATAGATCACAGAGGTGAAGGTGGGGTTCTACAACACTGTGAAAGTATGTGGAGTTTCGTGTGATGCTTCAAAGGGTGGCCTGAAAGAGCGCATACTAAAACCTACATGTTATCTTCCATTCTACTCAATTTACTTAAATTGATTGAGTTGTCTCTTGTCTGGTTTCCTCGTGTGACTGTGAATGCATTATGGGTGGGTGTGTGTATATATAGCATGCCAGGAGTATGTGTGGGACATGCTGTTGAGTGGTGGGG